GCAGTTAAAATTACCAACTATCAGGAAAGGTGGCTGAAGCAACAAAGTCAATGGGGTGGGAAGGGGAGAAGTAGACTGATATAGCTGTGATCCAATGTCAAAGTAAGATGCGAATAACGGGACAGTGGTTTAAAAGGAAGGTATGTCATAAGGTGTTTTCTGATTGAAAAACATTGATGAGACACAAATGGAGTATGAAAAAGAGACAAAATGGTAATTGGGAATTGGTAAAGGAGGATGTGTAAGGAGAGTCTCTTGGAAGCAGATAATGGATAGGTTATAAGAAGAAAGGATATGATGAAGCTCAGGTCTATGAGAACAGAAACTGCAAATATTCCAATGTAGGAGAGCTATACTTTCGTTGATCAATGGGTAATACAGTTACAGTGTGTGTTGGAGAATTTGAAGGGGAAAGAGCTAGGGGGTGAGATAAGGAATGAGAGGGAGAAGATGGTGTTGTATCAGGAGGGGTATCAGGTGGAGGATCAGGGAAAGGGCATAGCTGTAACATAAGAGATTCAGGTGTGTATCAGAGACAGAGAGACAAAGACACACACACACAGAGAGAGAGAGAGAGAGAGAGAGAGAGAGAGAGAGAGAGAGAGAGAGAGAGAGAGAGAGAGAGAGAGAGAGAGAGAGAGAGAGAGAGAGAGAGAGAGAGAGAGAGAGAGAGAGAGAGAGAGAGAGAGAGAGAGAGAGAGAGAGAGAGAGAGACAGAGAGAGAGAGAGAGAGAAGAGAGAGAGAGAGAGAGAGAGAGAGAGAGAGAGAGAGAGAGAGAGAGAGAGAGAGAGAGAGAGAGAGAGAGAGAGAGAGAGAGAGAGAGAGAGAGAGAGAGAGAGAGAGAGAGAGAGAGAGAGAGAGAGAAAGAGAGAGAGAGAGAGAAGAGAGAGAGAAGAGAGAGAGAGAGAGAGAGAGAGCGAGAGAGAGAAGAGAGAGAGAGAGAGAGAGAGAGAGAGAGAGAGAAGAGATAAGAGAGAGAGAGAGAGAGAGAGAGAGAGAGAGAGAGAGAGAGAGAGAGAGAGAGAGAGAGATAAAGAGAGAGAGATAGATAAAGAGAGAGAGGCAGATAAAGAGAGAGAGGCAGATAAAGAGAGAGAGGCAGATAAAGAGACAGAGAAAGAGAGAGAGAGAGAGAGAGAGAGAGAGAGAGAGAGAGAGAGAGAGAGAGAGAGAGAGAGTGTGTGTGTGTGTATACAATACGCACACTCCAGCAATACCCAAGACTTGTCATCGTTTGTGTTTATCCATCCGTGTGCTGAACTCTTACTAATAAAGAGTGTTCAGCCACTCAAGCTTTTACTACTCCCTGTCACCAATGTTTAGAGGTATTATATACCCTTCACATCCTGGTGGTAGAGGTGGTAGTTGTGTCCTTTTGGCACGCAACCGAATCAGTCTCCGAAGAAAAACCGCTCGCCTTCAAACAAACACAAGATGACATTCTTCAAAATCCGTGAGTACACATTTTGGGCCCCTTCTCTTTTCATTTCCTTTCTATTTTTCTCCTAAATGTGTTAAGCCATTTACAGCCATGCTCACGTTAGGTTTTTGTTGGGTTAAAGTGCTAATTACAGCAATGGCGCGCTCTCATTTCTCATTCTCTGACCTCACTTCTCATTACTGTCACTCGCGGTATGGAGTTAAACATTATGAAATTGTTCATTTATTAAGTGTCTATTTAATTTTTTTTTTGTGATTAAATTATGTTGTTTCAATTGTATCAAATTTAGCGCGTTTGTGATTTTATTCTTTTCACGAATATTCACTCATTAAATTCTTCTCTCACCATTTCCTGTCTTGACCTGACCTCACCTGAAATTCATTAGCCAGAGCCTGCTTGGAACAGCTGGTAGCTCTGACCTGACTTGACCTTGAGTGATTAACACAGGAAATGGCTGAGGAAACATCTGCAAATTCCCTTTTAATTGTTTTCAACCGTGAGCAATATAGGGTTAATGCATAGCAACCGTTACATGTTCATTGGTGACACGTTCTATCGGCGCTAGAACGAAACTTGTAATGCGACGTATAATTAAAAATAACGTCAAGAAGTATCCTCATAGTTAAGGTTGCACTTTATGTGTAATGACTCACATATGAGAGTAGGTTAAGGTAACTGAAGTAAATCATACACAAACTTTGAGCCAGGGTGACCGCAATTATGTCCATTAATTTAGGACTAGGATTTAAGTCTGATTTAGGATCCACTTAATTAATCACAACCTGCTCACACTTTTACCACGTCACCCGGCGTGTTGAGTAGATCCCATCGGTTTGTGATCATGATAAATTCCCATAGGGCATTTCATGAGCGCCCATCATAGATCCGCAGATAGAGTAGGTTATTTATATATTTTCCCAGCTCGTTTAAGCTTCATAAAATACAGCATTTTTGGGTCAGTCCCCCCATCAATGAAGTCTGTATGCCGGTAAAGATATAATTACTACCTCGGAAATCCCCGAGATTTGCTCGCAAAGAGGCTTGCGAATAATTTTCAC